ACATGCATTAAAAAGTACTTTTAGCTTTGTTAGGTTGGCAGCAGAAATTTACTAAACGTGACGTCATCCTAAATATAGCGTAAAAATCCTATACAAATCTCACTATGTATTTGTCTGTCTCAGTATCGCTGTATCGGTATCAGATGGTAACGCCGTCTGTATCACTGTACTGAAACTTGTGACTGAACTAATGTTTCCTGGGTCCTTATTCTTGAAACAGGGGAGCAGCGTTCCCAGGAGAACGAGTGTTCTATCTTTGTTACTCATATTATCATTCGCATATCAATTGGCCTTTTGATTAGTAATGTTTTTGGGATTATCGATTTCTAGTGAGCGCTTACGTTATGCAACCGGGATTTCTTACTCAATGTCGTATTCTTATGATTGTTCTAGTGGATAATTACCTGTTGTTATTATCATTAGTCATCAGCTGTTGTCATTAAAGAGTTCCCGTGCTGTCCAAATTTCGAATACCGCAACGTTATTTGACAAGTATGACAGTTCTTACGGTATTAGCGTTAGTGGAGCCCGCTACCTAACGGGGGTTAGCGGATGCCTTACCACTAACACTATGCTATGTCAAAATTAGTTTACGCTCTATTTACGTCTGCAAGAACAGGAACTTCTAATAATTCCTCCATAAAAAACACCAAGGGAAAATAAATGAAACTAAGGAATCTTCATCAGGATAAATAAAAGTTGGTAAACAAGCAAAAATAAGTTGGGTTAGATCACTCAATTCAGCTGTCAAAATGTAAACAAAATAAGGGATTAGAGGATTTTTGTGTCTTCGTGTCCGAGAACTATAAATACCATTTAAAATACCGTATTGTTAGCGTAGTGTCTGAAGCACGAGAACTTCCTATTTTTCTCTCATTATATTGTTGTTTGCAATTTTTGGTACGTAAAAATTTTATCGATTAAGTTTTGACGTTTGTCGTTATTCTGACTCATCTCTAATCCTTCACCTTTAGGACAGCTAATTAATTTTTTTTACTACTAACCTGAGAAGTAGTCATTATTCAATCAGTTTTTCTGGGAAAAAATTGAATTTCTCTCCCTAGGTTAATAATGAAAATAATTAAAAAAAACCTAGGTCAATAATGAAAATGACGTCATGACGCAAGGATATTGTCATAACGTAACAGGTTTCTATTGGTTTAATTTCAATTTCAAACTATCAATTAAAAAAAAAAAAACATGTTCGTGTATGGATAGGGTCTGTTCCTTATAATTAATGCGGCTCCTACAACCTAAACAAAAGAAAATACCAAAAAAAGTTAAATACAAAAGTTGTAGGGTTTTATCTCTATTATCTTTCGTACAAGTCAAAGTGGGCAAATGACAGGTGCCAACTATCATAATGACAGCACTTGCATTTTTTTAAATGAAGCACCCTCTATATCATTAGCTAGGATGATAGACTTTTTTCTTCTGATTTCAAATATACCATATACTTATGTTGATATTTGGTTCAGCTGTTTTTACGCTATTCAAGTTTAAAAATGCATTTACATTACCCTAAATTAGGTCTGTTCCCGGTTTCTAATATCAATGATGATTAATCAGGCTTGCTCAATGCAATTTTAAAATGAAATAGCGCAAAAAGAGCTAAACCAAATATCAACATAGTATATTTGGAATCAGAAGAAAAAAATCTATCATTCTAGCCAAAAATATACAGGGTGTTCTATTTTAAAAAATGCAAGTGCTGTCATTATGACAGTTGGCACTTGTCATTAGCCTATTTTGACATGTGCAAAACATAACAGACATGAAACCCTACAACTTTTGTATAGAACTTTTTTTTGTACCTATTTTCTTTTGTTTAGGTTGTAGAAGCCGCACTCATTATGAGGAACAGACCCTGTACATTATGGTAAATTACCATAAGTTGTTGATAGAGGACAGCACTTCCGATAAGAAAAAATAATTTGAGCAGGTTTCAAACCTATTTTTCATTTCCTACTTGCAGTGCAGTAGCAGTCATCAAGACCAACTTCTCTACCTAGGTATATAATGTACTATTATGTGGTGCTCATTTCTTTTCACGTTCGGTGGTTGGAAAAATAAGATCTTTCTGAAGAGTTAAATTTTGTCTTCACCTTTGTAGGAATTTGACCTTAATATTCTCAATAAATAAATTTATGGTACATTGAGTTGCCTTACGTTGCGTTACGTTTTCGTAAAGTGCCATAAATTTCGGATTTTTACAACCATCCATGTGATAAGTTTGGCTTTGCACGTTTTTTTCCCACAGTGGATTCTGACCGTCTCTATTTAATCATTAGTGAAAAGCTGCCCTAAGGAGTAGAATAAAGACCACTTCACTTATTCCAGGATTTCGAATCCAGACGTCCAGTTGATTAATCCAGAGTATTTTCGAGGCAAATAAAGCCCATTCTAACAGGGGAGACATAACCTAATAACGACAGATTTTCTTTGCAAATTTGAACCCCGTTTTATTTCTTTTCAAATATATGTAATTCTGCTTTTATACACAAATCAATGCATCACTCACTTTCCTGGATAAAACTTCTTCAACTCTTGGTAGGTAGTCGACACTAAAATCCAAGGAAATAGATAGGAACATAATACCGGAAAGAAATTTGTTATGTTGTAATGCTACAAAATTCCATTCCCCTATCCCCTAATGTTACAGAACGGAACTGAACTTGCAAATTGCAAACAGAATACTATGTAACATTCGAAGTAGCCTAGCCTTTGGCTATATACCAAGTGACTGGAGGCGCATCAGGGTATCGTTCATATCAAATCTTGGAAAAATAGGACAGGACACTTCGAAGCCCCTAAGACCCATTGGTCTTACATCATTTGAGCTTAAGACACTGGAAAAACTTGTGGATAAGTACAATAGGGACAGTGTTTTGGCAAACAGACCACTACAACCAGACCAATATGCGTATCGGACAGAAACAGCGCTTCACTAGCTGGTCATCATACTGGAAACCACACTGACAAACATAAAGGTGATGCTGGGTTCCTTTTTGGATATACATAGAGGGAGCTTTTGATTCAATGACCAGAATTCTCAAACACAAAGGGTTGTGCGTGGATCAATTCCATGCTAAGAGAAAAGAATGGTAGAAACCACCATCGCAGAAGAGACACTGGCGGTCAAGGTGTACAGGGGATCCCATAGGGCGGGGTATTATCCTCACTTTTGTGGAATCTAGTGGCGGATGGCCTGCTTAAAGTGCTCACTGACGGATGACACCGTGCCCTCGAATATTTTAACGACATAGTCATCATTTCACGGGTTAAATTCAACTACCTATACAGTCAAGGAGCGAATGCAAAACACTTTAGACCGAACAACAAGATGGGTCGATAAAGAAGGGCTAAACATTAGTCCCAACAAATCCACTATCGTGGCATTTACCTGAAGGCATAAAATCCAAGACCTGGGACCTCTAAGAATGAGGGGTGAAAATATACAGATTTCGAGCGAGGTCAAGTACTTGGGGGTAACACTGGATTCGAAACTTACCTGGAATCAACATCTGGAAAATACGACAAAAAAAGCGGTAACATCACTCATGATGCTTGCATAAAAAATTATGGGGTTTAAGACCGTACATGCTATATTGGACATACAACATGAGGGTCAAACCTATCTTGACATACGCCTCTCTGGTGTGGTGGACCAAGACACTGCAGGAAAGTGCCCATATGCCAACTTAGCAAAGCACAAAGACTGGCCTGCTCAGGAATACCGGGATCAATGCGGTCCACACCAACAACAGCTATGGAGACCCTCTTAGACCTTCTACCTCTACACAATCAGAACTGAATGGGAACATGGCATACCGTAGACCAAAAAACAAGACCAGACCTGGTACACAGACGGGTTGAAGACCGCGTCTAGTACCGGAGCAGGGGGTATACTCCGCCAACTATAGCGATTACATGCTCCGATGAACGATTCGTAAAGAACATCGGCGACACTGGATAACTGCCAGGCAGAATTATGGTAGGGAATTCATCAAACAGCTATGCAGTAAAAGGACCGCAAAACTGCTACAAATGAGCAGGAACCGACTGAGAACCATAACGGGAATCTTGACTGACCACACAACAGTAGGTCCACCTGAACAGGATGAACCTGTACGACAGAGACCTTAATTGCAGACTCTGCAATAAGGAACCCGGGTAAGCCAGACACATCCTGGTGGACTGCAAGACACTGGATTGCATCAGAAGACACAGCATTTTCGGGCAACCAAATGTAGAATCGGAAATAATAATGAAACACCATTCAGTAAAAAACCTGTACAACCTCGTACAAGGCACAAAAATACTCTACTGGTTGGAATAAATCACAAAGGTTAAGTTCTCAGGCTTCGGTGCTGCATAAGAAATAAGTCGGACAGGCCTGGAAAAAGGGGGAAAAAAATGTTACAAAATATGAAACTGCATTGGAAAAGCTTCAAACCATCAGTTGAAGATGAATGACTCAGTCTGTTTTACTTAATAAAAATTAAATAAAGAAAACAACCCTCTATAATCAAAATCCTAGTTCTCCCTAAAATATTTCGAAAAGGGTTATAAGTTAATCTCGTCCCTATCCTATATGGGTGATGACCGGTTAATATCCGGATTTGGACGTGAGGATCCAGGAAGTGATGTCCGCAAATCGGAAGACGGTTATGTTGGCGCCCAGGGTCCCGTAAATTACCAGCTTATCCATGATATTGACGATTATGGATGAGGCAATAAGGATTTTACTGCTAGGGACGATTTATATCGGACAATTTTATTACGTTATTAGAGACTCTTACTTAGAAAAATTATCTTGTGTTGTAAAATGCATTTTCAAATTGTGGTCCATCTACCTTTCTCCAGCATCTCTCAGCGTTTATCTGAAAAACAGGTCCTCGGTTTCGCGCCGATACAAGCGCTGAAATTCGGGCCCGAGTGGGGGCACGAACGAGCTGCCATTGGCTGCAAACAGCCGGCTCACAGAAAGACTGAAGGACCAAAAACCGATCAGTATATTTCTAAGTATGAGCGGTAATGCACGGTGATACTGACTCGGTCGATTTTTTTTTTATCGCAGGAACACGATCGCGAAAGTGAATTGTTGGATTTTGTGGATTTTGTTTTGAACTTTTTTTGTGTACAAATTGGATGAATATTTTTGATTGTAACATTGTAAGTTGAATTTGGTTCACATTTTATAATATAAATGGATTTGTTTGAACTTTAGTAAGCAGCTCAAACGTAGGTCTTTTTGTATGGAGTTTTTTGATATTTACTTTATTTTTTATAAATAGGAAGTTGTAGAACAGCCACGAAAGCTAAAAAAGATCAATATAGGTTTGTTTTCACAGATGCAAATCGCCAACTAACAATTTTTTGACTATTTTCATCTAATGGACTGATTGGTTTAAGATTTCTGTGAGAACAGACTTAGTATAATTCCTAGTATAGTTAGGTCTTTTCTCTCTTAAAAACTTCAATGATCAAAAAGTTCCACTATTGATTTTTCAAAAACCAAAACGTCACCCTATGACCGGCGACCGCAGTAAATTATCACATTTTAAGTCACGGTCTAATACCTTTCAGAGGCTTCTAGATACTGGCCCTGCAAAGCTCCTTGCCACCCCAAACGATTATTTATTGGCCCTATTTTCAGTATTTTAGCCTCATAAGTTATAGGATTAAAAATTGTTCTATTTTAATAAACGTGCTCAAACCATTTTGAAGTAAATTCAATTTCTTTTGACTAAAATCACGTTTCAGCTGAAAATGTCACAAAAGAGGCCTTTTCCTAGGTATAAAAATGTCATTGGCCCTAATCCGTAGCAAATCCTCTATAGAAATGCGTGGTACTGAATATTCTATTGTTCTCCTAAAATTAACACTTTGAAAGTTGGCTCTCGCCATCCAAGCTAAAGGTAATTTTTAATTCATCGACCGTCCTGTCTAATTGGAAGTGGATGTTGCATTATTTAGTAGGCGAACACTGGATGGGTAATTTGGAGGATTCGTTGGAGGAAGACGCATTGTCTAATGGGCATTGTGTTTCTGTGACTGATATACACAAATCCTGGTGGTCTCGAATTCAATTAAATTCTTTTCAATGTGCAATAATTCATTATCGCACAATGGAATTTTTCTATTGTTTAAAAATTGAAACAAAACAAAATTGCATTCGAGTCGAGTCATCCGACAAAGATAAAAGTTAATGGCACCTTTTAAGATTAAATGTCTCATCGAAACTATGATTCATGCATTGTATTTTTAAACATTATTTGCAAATTAAATTTATCTAAAATACCGAATAGTTCATTAAAAGACTAATCAATCTGACTTCACATATTTCAAATTGGTTAATAATTTATGCAAATTAAAATTTAATCTCGAACATTTTGTGAAAAATAAGGCAATTAAGTTTATAGTTGATGAGATAGCGTGAATACAAGATTAAAATCTTCATATTCTTCATTAATACAAATCTTGGCGACATATTATTAGTACCTATTATTTGCATAATTACTTAATTTATAAGTTTGTTAAACTTTTCCTTCGTGGTTTAATATAATTATTTTCCTCGTGCTTTGGAAGCGTAAGTATTTATGATAAGGCCAAGAAAACCTGGATACCCCATACATAGAAATCTCAATAAAAAAAAAATTCCCTGGATAATTTTAAAAGCATAAAACGCAGACTAAACAAAAATATTTCCTTTCATAAATAAACACCCCAATTTGCTATCACCAGTATGGTGACAAAATATCATAACTCCCTTTATTTATTTTTATACCTCTGACATGTGCAACTTAAGGGATATATCTATACCATCAAGCGTTAAAAAAATTAATGTTTACTTAAAACATTTCTGACATTTTTATTGGAGAAGGGGCATTTTTTAGGGGTTGTTATAAAGAATAACTAAAATCATTATTCAAACAATCAATCGTTCACTGACCCTCCACTATAAAACTAGCTCTAAACATCCCTGGTTTGCAATTATTTCAACTTTCATGCCATAAATTTCAACCCCTTCGATGTATAGGGTGCACATTACCCAACCAACGTTCGTGACGTTAAACTGTAAAAACTATAGCTTGTCGACAATTGTGTGCAATTTACTTGCGGTATTTTAAACGTATAAATATTTATGGGCATTTATCAATCAATATTTTTTTTGTTTAGTAAAATATTTATACCCAGTCAAATTTATCCTGGTTTTCAAGTGGCACGAAACACAATATCCTTACCGAGAAGACAATTAAACACTTAAGCAGACAGGAAACAACGATTTATGGCCAATTAGGACGAATTTAAGCCAAGATTATCCCAAACACAAAGCCAGAAAAAGATTTAGGGAGTACGCCCTATCGTTTATAATTCGTCAAGTATTTTTCATCTAATTTACAATGACACTTGTAATGATTCTTTTCGCGTTTTGAGGATTTAATTGTTTTGCCTTCAATTTTTGGAGTCGATTGCTGTATAGTGGCTTCAGCAACATCCCATAATTCAAAATCAAATTTCATTTCAATAAAATCGATATAAGTGTCGCAACTAATGATAAAACTAATCCCAGTTGATTTATATAAATTCTTCTAATCACTATATGTTTGATAAACTCACACACCACTAATAGAAAATAATAATAATAAAGCTCAAGTAAATAAATATAATTTTGTAATAATTATCTAGGTTAATAAACAATTAAACAAATAAGAATTTCATGATTAGTAGATCACTATTCAATTCACCATCCAGGTGCTTTTGTTCATTATCAATTCTCATAAAACAAAAAACTCTTCGCTGGCTCGTTCCGAATTTTCAGCTTATTGAATATTCATGAGTCCCCTGTCACCAGATTTAAAATTATTGTCTATTTGCGGTAAATGTTGCTCTAAGTCCGTGAACCGATACAAAAACTTTATAGACTCGGTGATTATGTCGGATTTATTTACTGCCTGCCGTTTTCGTGTTGTTTTAAGTCGGGCTTTGGACGCTTTAGGTTTTATGAATTTTAAATGACTGGTTTTTTGGAGTAATAACTAACAGGTGTTTCCAATCAAGTTTGTTACGTTCTATTTTGGGAACTCAGATTCAAACTTGCTCTATTTTTTAGAATGGTAATCAATTGCTTCAAAAATAACCCAGCCGGAACAAGAAGCATCAACGTTCAATTACAGATAAATGGTTAGTGCTTCAAACTCCAAATTAGTAACTCCTATATTTTCAGAAAAATTGCGGTTTTCAGAAATCGCCGGTTTATTTAACACCTGGCAGGAACAAGGAACGCTCCAACGTTCAGCAGTTGATAAGTTGTTAGGGCTTCGTTGGAGCTTCAATGTACTTCAATACCCAAATTAGCAACTGTTGTATTTTCGAAGATATTTCGGTTTTTTGAAATTGCGTGCTCACTTCACACCCAACAGGAACATCAAAAGCACCAACATTCAGTTACAGCATTGATAAACCGAAATATGTCCGAAAATACAAGGGTTTGCTAATTTGGAAATTGAAGCACATTGAAGTAGGTACTAACGAAACGCTAACCATTTATCTCTAACTGAACGTTGGTGCTTCCCTAGTTCCTGCTGGGTATGAAGTGAGCAGGCGATTTCAAAAAACCAAAATATCTCCGAAAATACAAGGGTTGCTGATTTGGGGATTGAAGCACATCGAAGCACTAATGAATCACTGAACGCAAGTACGTAAAATTTAACTTTTGTGCTCCAAGTGTGCTTGCCTACTTCACAGAGCCAACTAGTAGGGAGGTAATTTCGAAATCTTTATGGTGGAAAGAGGAAAAGACAGAGCTCGACATAGGTACTGACATGAAAATTTCCAGAAAATCAACTTTTAGAAAGGAAATTGGAGCAAAATACACCCTCTCGCATTTTGAAAAACTAGTTGGGAGAAAATTTTGAAACTTTTAAAGAAACAAGTAAAAGAAGGAGCTCATCGTACTGAAATTTCAAATTGATCCAGTAAAAAGCAACAATGTTAGAAATTCTAGAAAATCCACTTTTAAAAAGGAAATTGAGCAAAATACACTCTATTGTCGACTCTCTCACATTTTGGTGCTTTGTTGGAAAACTAATAAGGGGAAAATTTTGAAAATTTTAGGGTGAAAAAAGTAGAGGAAGGAGCTCATCGTATTGAAATTTCAGATTGATTCAGTAAAAAATGACAATGCAAGAAATTTAAGAAAATCAACTTTTAAACAGGAAATTGAGCAAAATACACCCTCTTACATTTTGATGCTTTTTTAGAAAACTAGTAGGGGAAAAGTTTTGAAACTTTTAGAAAAAAATGTGAACAAACATTTTGAGAAAAATTGCAAAAAATTTAGAATTTTGTAATAAAACACCTTTTTACTTACCAAAAGGCTAGAAAAATGTACCTTCTACAACCATAAGATTTCAAAGGATCCTGCCCAAAGTATACGGAAATTGTGTTAATGTCAGAATTAGCTGAATTTTATATGTAATGTAGATCACGCCTTTCTGATTAAAAGTTATCATTGCACCAATCCCGAAAAATTACTATACTTAGCACACCACTGCGCCACAAACTTACCTATTTGTGTTACATTGTAGGTATGTACTTGAACAATAACTTATTATATAAAGTCAGAATTTGTAAGATTATCCACTTTTTGTCAATTGGCCTTTTAATAGGAACTAGTAATGTTACTTTAACAAACTAGTAACATAATGTGACAAGTTATTCAAATACAAACGAGTGGATTGTTGCGGAATTTATGGGTGGACTTCTATTCATTAATACGTTGTTCAAGTACGATACTAACCTGAGTCACTCAAATGTCAGTTATTCTCATTAGATCAAAAACTAGAAGTTTCAGGTGAGTGTCTTATTTAAATAGTTCAACAGTATATTGGTGAGTAGATGGAACGCGGAACCCATTGCGCTCGTCCCACAGAGGTCCACCCATAAGTTCCGCAATAATCCACTTATTTGTATTCGAACAATAACTTATCATATAAAGTCAAAATTTGTAAGATTATGATTATTCAGTTATTGTCAATTTGTCTTTCAACAGGAATTAGTAATGTTACTTCACCAAACTAGTAACATAGTGACAAGTTATTCAAGTATAAATGAGTGAATTGTTGCGGAACTTATAGGTGGACCTCTGCGGGACGAGCGCAGCGAGTTCC